TGCCAAGAGACTCCGGGGATTACCGCAAAAACCAATCGGAAAAAGTGAACTCCATGTCATTGGGGGTCACATCCAATCAGCTCATTATTCACTCAGGATGAGATCTTTTCCACTGTAATAAAAAGTACCGGGTGTGATGAAAACTCCAACAGCTATTGACTGGTTTCAACCCTTTTGGGATACATCCGGCAGAAATAACACCACAAACTGGAGATGTTTCGTGTGATTTGGTGTGCGGGCAATAGATTCGACTGATAAAAACTGAAAAACTTGAGAACATTTATGTTATCCCTAATCGCAAATGATTACTTAATTTGAGAGCGGGCTAGAATAAAAAATGACCTAAGGACTTCACTACACACCTACTATCACGTTACACAAGACCGTTAGGTCTTCCCTTCAGGATAGAACAGCCACTATCTGGTCCTATATGGTTTCAGAAAGAGGGTTGCATCCCTTGGTACTGGAGCCTTCACTCCGTTTTCTTCAATTCCTCTTGGATTTGAACCAGGATCCACACCTAACAATGACTTAAAAACAAGTGAACGACCAATTTCAGTCTCTGCCTTCTTTGTTGAGACGCATAAACTAGACATCCGCGGGAAGATACATTGATTCGTGAAGTGGATTTCATACAGAAGGTTTAGAAAACGATCCAAGCCGCAATCAGCTCCATATCGAAAGCCACCAACTGTGTAGTGGGTAGTTTCTTTTAAGCGGGAAAACTTGATTCAATCTCCATTAATCAATAGGAACGAGTCTAAGAGCTCAGAAACTTTCGAGAACCTGCAAATTGGTTCTTGTGTTTCCATCTGAGTGTTACAAGTAAAGTGGTTCCAGCCCTATCACTAAGGGAATCGGCTTGTACATAGAATTCACAAGGTGGAAAACTTAACTAAAGAAAGGCCACCTTCAAAGTGCCCCAGGCCGCACTTCCAGAGGGGGAGCGATTTAACCAGGATTAACAGAGCCCTTCCTTTCTTCTCAGTGTCCGTTACGTGGGGGCTTCCTATAAGGAAGTGCTGTACTTAATGTGTAGTATTTAACACTTCTAAGCTACTTTGAAACGCAAAAGGTCGCAGTTTGTTTATCTAATGAATCAACAGCGGTCACGCGTGAATAGGATAGTCGAGAGTGAGAATTGTGGTGTGGCAGTGGAAAAATCCAACCTAGTATGAAGGATTTTCGCACACTATCCGAAAATTATTCAAACCCAAAACTAGAGAGGGTTCACAAGGCGCCGCCTAGATCTGGATGACATCACAGTTAATATGGTATGAAAAGCAGTGAGCGGCGAGAACAGCAGTCTTTAGCCTCCTACATTCCATGTTTGTAAGTTCAGACCTCTATTAATCGATGCATTTAAAAAATACAAGCATGGTTTGTCGCCCAGTAAAAGCTTATCGACGGAGGCCAGCCGTCCCTAATAACCGAACACCACATCATTCGGACGGATGTGTCACGTGCAGGACACGGATCAAACAAAGGCATGCCCTGATTCTTCAGAATGCCAGCCAATCCGGATCGAGCATCTTTGACTCGACGCCTATCGTCCCCTCACGGAGATTCTGGCACGACCTTGTGGAACACTCTGTGACTACCCTATAAATACAGATGTAATGACTCTCCTTTTGTCTCCATAAAGGGCTGTCTAAAGCTACCGTGCCTTTTGATATACCATAGTGGACGGAGCAGGAAGTCAAGGGACCGATACAGAGTTGCACCACCGTTCAGCAAGTCACAACAAGGACCGTGTGACTGTGCGTTGTACCAGCGGAGTGGATAATTCTTCTGATCGTTTCTGAATGATTTTGATCACAATATTACTACTAACAGGTACACTACAAGTCCTAGGAATCAAACGGCCGATTCAAAACTATACCTGGAAAGTCATATCATGCAACATGTCGAAATCCTCTGTTACATATACTTCACCCACCTTCAAAACACTAGAAGAGAGACACCGCATTGCCACGTGGAGCATTTTTTTTTCTACCTAATCTCACTCACCATTGACTCCTACTGGTGAATGAGGCCAGAACACCAACGAGCCATTGGAATGTTGTTTTGATAACCAACCGAGTTGAAACTAACCTGCTTCAAACCGATTTTAACCGTCTAAGGTGAATGTAGTCACGTAGCCACTGCTTTGTGGCTGACTACCAGAAGAATCAACGCATGGTATGTATGTGCGTGCAAGACACAATAGACAAGTCAGGTTTTGTCTTCGGAATTCGTTTTACTTTGACCATACTGAGTAGAGCCAAAACCACCTGCTATTCGAAGGCTACTGCATAAGTTGTCCTCTTGAGTTGAAGAGATTTGTTTATTGGACTACCTGCAAGTAGACGAAACTCTACGATGTATACCCACGACGCGGGGTGACAATGAACGAGTCAAACAGAAAACAAGTCATAAAGGAAACTACTCACAAGGTTGCTGAAAACTCCTCGACAGCCCACGACCGGTTTCGCCCTTCTTGGGGCTCATCAGGTAGACGCAGTCCCGAGTTTCCGTCAACCTTGTTCTACTTGAACCCAAATATACTGCGATATCTCGAATATCGTGCCAACTGAAGCACGAGGCGGCCTGTGTGCAGCCCATTCAGTTGTAGAATATCGTAAACGAGAGATTCACTTGAGTCTCTCGTGAAAACCAAATTGATTTGCAAACGAGTGTATTTCTAGAAAGCAATTCACTTCAAATTCAAACCCGGTCGACCATTGAATACCAGGGAGGTTGAAAAGACAATTCGAAAAAAGACCTATCCTCTTCTTGATAAAAAAACAAGTAGTTTGTCAACAAGGGGAGACAATAACTCATACATCCGCCGTGAGACGACAGTCAAGGGAAAAACATACTGTTACAGAACGTCCTAGAACTTGAATAAATATATCCACGACTGGCTACTCTGTCCCAGTGTCAGAAATAGCTGATTCTGCAAGAATTCAGATTGTCTGTCAAAGTCCACGGACGACTTGGTGACCGGGGTTAATTATCTGCCGAATCCGCGAAGTGCTAGAAAGAACTATTGCAACGATGGAAACACCTGTTTAACATGTTACATGCACCTCTAGCAACCTCTCTTTAATACTAAGCAAAGTCATCAAACTCGATAAAGGCATGTTGAAATACAATCATCACCGATCAGAGTGCAATTATGTGGTTTTTAGCTTAATCATTGCGGTTTGGAGTGAATTGGTTTACATAGATTTTTTCTTATAACGCTCAAAGTAAACCTGATGAATAAACTATCGCCTTAGCATGCGATATACAAATTTGCTATCGATCAAAACTGCATTGGCCCAACCTTGTAAAGTCACCAGGAATGTTAGCTTAGTGTTTACTAAGTTCTGGACCAAGGAGCTGACCAATACATTCCTGTTTCCGATACCAAGCCAGCGCGTTTTCGCTGACTGGACCGCCTAGTCAAAAATATCCTACTACGTGGTAGAAAGAGTTAGAACAAACCGGAACGTATTCGATAAATGAGGCGTTTAGTTTGGAATCAGGGATAGAGAAAAGCTGCTGTAAAACTTCTGATCACAGCACGCATTGAACAAGAAATTTAAGCACATTCGTTGCTCTTTCAAGGATTAGAGCTCGAGGCTTTGGCTATAATGTTTCAAGGTGAAAATCTCGGGAAACCCACATCCAACCAACGTTGACAAAAGCCAGTCCATGTTCCAGGGCAACCCCAGAGCCAATTCCAGTCCATTTGCTAGTAGAAAAGACGAAATTATACACGTTACTCCATTCATGGGCGCCTGGTGAAAAATACGTCTATCTCCATCTTACCCATCATTTACTACCCCACCCATGTCATTAATGAAAAGGACATTGTGGCAGACTGAATAAGAACTTACGTTCAAACAAAAACTTTGTGGAATGAAAGCAGCACAACAAGGGACATCTTGATTCTTTCCGTGGACGCCTCTAGTCTAGACATTCACCGTAAGCAGCTCATCCGCGTTATAACGGCACCGCTCCTTTCGGCTAAGAGTACCAGTGTCAAAGTGTACACTGCTGATGGAGCATGCGGGTAATCTCTGGTCTGGTGTCCAAGCCCTAACCCGACGTCAGACCAGACACTACTCGCATGCTTCATCAGTAGTACACAATCAAGCAGATCCCAATAAGCCTAATTTAATAAGCTAGTGCAAACAACTCGACCCGAGACTTTGAAGAACGGGTTGTATACGATACCGTCAACAAGTTGCAGAAATATCTTACGTAGTTAGGGGCTGGCGACAGGTGGGTGACACCTGACAAATTGTGGAACACCTAGTAGTTTTAGTCACGTCGAACAATAACGCTCACTGCGGTGGTTGCTAGCCAAAAACATGCGTAGGAACAAAGCAAAGCATCCATACATGCGTCGATTTTGTCAGTTTCCCGAGTCACAGAAGCAAAGTTTTCGTAAGACAGACACCCCGAGACGTTGCGTACCCGGTTGAAAAACCAGTGGATTTTGCGTTGTATGCAGTCTAGGCGTCAAACGCTGAGTAGCAAGGGAAGAATCCGTATGATGAGGTTTGCAAGTAAGCAGTTTTGCGTAGACCTGCAAGCGACGCAATAACAAATGCTGATAGAACGAAAGCACACAGTGTCGTGAAAACGTGTTGGACTCCATTTTGAATGCAGCTGATCTCAGGTGCACAGTAATAAATACTAGAAAATGGAATATTCTGTGAACTACAGTCATGGTGTGATCAAAAAACGTGTAGGCTAAACTCTCAATCAAGCCAAAATGCAGTCAAGCTTGACAGCAGGACGGTTGGATTCGGGAATAATCAAGAAAGTGACAGGTTTATCATACAGCAACAAGTGACAGCCCTGAGAGATGAAACTGTCCCATAAAAACAACCAAAGTGAAATGATGTTGGCAAAAAGCAATCCTCTTCGTTGCGAAATAGCTGGAATTATACATCTGCCTGGATAATTTAACAACGTTATCAGGGAATGAGAAAGGTTAAGAACGATCGGTTTCGGTGGGCGCTCTACCGACCGAACCACAAAGTATAGAGCAATGCAGGCCAATCAATCAAGATGACAAAGTGGTATTGCAAGAAACCAAGCAGAACACCGGCCAGAATGTCCGTCAGATGATGTCGCTGCATCGCATATCGGGAAACACAAACAACCAGGGCCCAAACACCCAACAGCATGAGGTGCCATTGCTGGAAGTGGAACATGTCCGGAAGAAGCCACAGTAACAGGATGGCTCTGCTGGCATGACCTGGGTCGCGAGGGGGGGGCAGGAGCAAACGAGAAGATAATTGCTCAGAACGAGATGAAAACGAAGAGTCGTACAACGATAATTTTAGAACTATTCTGTTCAACACTTGGACAAGGAGTTTTGTTCGAATAATTCAAATTGAGGAAACACAGTTGAGAGTCTGACCAATAAACCTTTATCATTTTATCCCATAGAAAGGCGGACAACTGCGTGAGTACCCGAAGTCACATGTTATTGGTGAGAAGATCAAAATTGAGATGGTAGATAAATTATAACAGGACGAAAGGAACATCGGCTGATACTGAAATACGAAACAAATGCTCCAAGTGGTTCCGAAGTAAATGATTCGAACTCATGTTCGCGTCAAACCTAGTATTATCTCATCCGGCGTGCTCTCTTCGAGTGACAAGAAACGTATACATCGAAAGGATGAACGACTGACGAAACGATAAGAAACCGTTCAGCTGTATCACCCTTTCCGTACCTAGCTGCCATGCAAACGGAAGGACGCAAGAGGGCTGTGATACCGCCAGGTTGCCCAAGCCTAGGCGGAAACAGTCGAGATCCCGAGGTTGGGTTCAAACTAAGGTTCTGGTCTGTAAGCTGGCACTTTAACCACTAGGTTATCCCAAGTTATCATGAAGTACACATCAGCTCTGCCTGATTGGGCGAAGAATCCATCCAGAATCAGAGTCCACCACACCATTTCTCTGACCGCAGTCAAAAAGCTGAAATGGTTGGTGCTGAGATTGGAAACAGCAACATCAGTTGCACTGCAACCAGTCACAAACGCGAACGTGGCCGGTCCAAATCCGCAAATTTCACACAAGAACCACATGGAGGTGGACCCCCAAAACTGGCAAGAAAACCAGCAAAATGATAGAATCAGCACGAACAGGGTGAACCCGATCGGTGAAAATCGATCCAACAGGCAAGACAAACACTATGTACCATCATGTGACAAGCAGGTATGCATACCGCATGAGTTATACTTTCCCAGCAATAATCACCCTAAGTAGGCATCGCCCCTACCCGCGACTCCAAAAAAGGAAATCCGAAGCAAGGAGACACAATGAATGAACGAATATCCTGGTGCCCGTCAATGCATAACACTCTCAAAGCACGGACAACACCGTGCCTGACTGCTCATGGACTAATGAGTCCGCTCCTTTCTAAGCTAATCTCCATCAAGAACCGTTCATCTGTCGGCAACCGCGAGACGACCTCCATCCGAAATGATATGTTATAAGTATACAGAACACGTATATGAAACGCGTTGAGTCAAACCAGATTTTTTCGACAAGTGAAATAGAAACGAGTAAGAAGAAACTTAGCAATGGGGCGATGAACATTCAACATACAGAGTCAGCAAGCACAATAGTCGTCAACAATTTAACAGATCAAAGCAGTTATGTATGCTGTGCTATACAATCAAAGAGTTGATTGTTTTGGGATACTAAACCTTGATCCTCACATTGGCCAGTCGATGCTACTGATAAGATCGGGTATTTCTTTTTACAAGCCTCGGGAGAATCCATGTAAAATTTCAGAGTGGTCAAATACCGGATAACCGTTCAGTTATAACACCCTGGAGGTGCCTAGCTGCCGTGCCGCCCAGAGAGAGCCGGATGGTTTAGGAGCAAGCACAATAGTCGTCAACAATTTAACAGATCAAAGCAGTTATGTATGCTGTGCTATACAATCAAAGAGTTGATTGTTTTGGGATACTAAACCTTGATCCTCACATTGGCCAGTCGATGCTACTGATAAGATCGGGTATTTCTTTTTACAAGCCTCGGGAGAATCCATGTAAAATTTCAGAGTGGTCAAATACCGGATAACCGTTCAGTTATAACACCCTGGAGGTGCCTAGCTGCCGTGCCGCCCAGAGAGAGCCGGATGGTTTAGGTAATACCAGGTTGCCCAAGGACAGGCAGGAGCGGTCGAGATGCTGAGACTGGGTTCGAAACAGGGACCGTTAAGTCAGTAGGTTGGCACCATAACCACTGAGCAATCACGAGTCACGCTGATGATAAAGGTGTTGAAGGATGGTAATGGCTGTCCAGGACTTCCCGACTCGAAAAAAGATCTGCCAGGAAGGCGAGGTTCAGTAAATAATCCCATAATACCCAAAACCTACTGAAAATCTAAAATCCTACTTAAGTCGCAGTAGAGAAGTCGCCAAGCATCCGGACGAGGAAAGTCGGCTGTAGGTCGGTCGGAAACTCAAGTAGTAAATCAATTCAATAACGGCCGACGATGATGAGTGTTCAGGCATGCCGTAGGAGAAATGGCCGATGATGGGTTTTCAGGTATGTCATAAAAGCAACGGCCGACGACGATGATGAGTGTTCACCCAACGCCGATCGGACAGCATGTATTGAAGGTCAAAAGTGCGCTTTAAATACCGCGATGTTCCTCATAACTTCTGCACTCGATTGTTCTCAATAAAGCTGTTGTGTTCTTTGTTGGCGAGTAGTCTTCCGACACTAAAGCATTGGGTCGGGGGTTGCAGTTGGTTACAATGGTTAGTAATGAATCCGTCAGGTAACCAGTTTCCTAATACACTTCCAGCACAAAAATCCAAGTATCGACTCCCTCTATAAGTGGAAAAAACATTATGGTTGGATCCTTCGGTGATGCTTTCAACGCCGTGATGATTGGCTTAGACACTTGTTTTTGACTGTCAGTCACTTTGAGGATCTCACCTCACTTTGAATCCAGAGTAGGGATGTCTTCTGCCACATAGGTCTATTAGGAGCTACCTTGTTCACAGAAACGTCTTCGGGGAATGCCAAAAGTGGTTTTTATTTGAGGACAGATTCTAAGTGGAAGAAATCGGCCTTTTTACTATGTGGTCTCGTGCCAGTTACGTATTTCCCAACGACTCAATAAGTAACGTGTTGTCTCAGTGAATAACTTGGTCCCTCTCAAAGGATTCCGAAATAAATGTAAACTATTCAGGAGGAACACAGTTTACGAGGGTTACTGCGATAAAAAAGAAACGTTGGTCAGTGAAGGCAAATGTCGCAACTGCGTCAGCTAGTTGCACAGGTCAAACTCCAGAGAACTGAATTTTCTATGTCGTTTCTCGGTTTGTCAGTACAGGAAATCGATCGAAAGCTCGCTCAGTTCGGGAACATCTATCTAACACCCCACTCCATCACTTATTACCACATTATCACCTACCAACTGTAGACGGCGTCGATGGATCAATTTGGAAGCGTAGGATATTGCAACAGAGCTCCAAAAACAATTATTGGATAGCCCCTATCGTTCCAACGTACTTTGAATATTCACCTTAAGCACCAGTGGCCAATTACTTCAGGCCTGCAAGGATCGTCAGTTCGGAGAGGTAAGATCTCAGATTAATGTTGATGCAGGCCGGACAGCCTCAGTGTACACAGAGAGCTTCGGTCGTTCAGTGGTGTGGAAATGTATGAATAACTTCTTGGTGTTGCCAAAGCGAATGATTATTTCTGATCGCTTTTTGGGCATGATGGAAGGAATCAACTTGGTATGAAGGTTCGCAATTGACACTCAGTGGGGGGCTCTGTCCATATGGTGAAAAGGATTGCCTTTCTAGAGCTCATTTCTAACCAAACATGCCAGACGAAGTGACCAGTGCAATCAACAACAAACTGAATTTCCGTTGGACCTTTCTTTCAGGATAACCACACAATCGGCGTGGTTAAGGTGCTTTACTACATAGTAGGGCTTTTTGATACCACGAAAAGTCATCAAGAGAACGTGATATTTCCCAGTCAACTACGAAAGTGAAAAGGATTGGCAGTTAAGTTATGTTATTCAGCTATAAACCGCATCCACAAACAGCAGTTTTACATGCTAGTTTGCTCACTGAGGATAAGGAGAGCGAGGGGATGACAGCTACACGTTGGAAGCGGTTGCTCAATAGGTTCCTCACCACCATTACCATTGACAGCACGAAATCAGTGTTCAACATTGATGCTTTGCTGCCGTACAACCCAAAGCCCCATTTCGAACAAAAGAACGAATGTGGGTAGGGAAGGGACGTAGAGCTACCTTACTGCAATCATCCTGAGGTACCTACATACACTCCTTCAGGCAATCTGGATATAAACTGATAACACAAAAACCAATAACATCAATTACCAGCCATATCTTGCAGCGTCTCCAACCAGGCGCAGTGGGGACCACGCGGTCCCCATCCTGGATGGCGAGTAGCACCAACAGCGCCCGAACGTCCCGTAATCTCTTTAACACCCCTCTGCCAGACCAAGAGTTGGCCACCTCTCTGCTTCTGCCACTCTGAATCGGGGACAGAAAACAGCACTCTCTTCGGCTCAATGACTTCATTGATGTTAAATTGTTCAATCTGTCCAGTGTGACATGGAGTGAGAGATCTAGGTGTTGAAGGCAATAGCTATGCTGCAGGGTCCCCATTGGCTGAGTGAAAACTGTCTCTGTCAATGTCACTAACTACTCACTTGTCTCGTTCCGATGTTTTCATTCCAGGAGGCGGGAGTCACCCAGACGACTGAGTTGGCTGGCAAGGACTTCCACACCCCGTCACAAAGTCATTGAGTGACATCTCCTCCCCTTGGGATCTGACACGCGGCTGGGCGAACAGGGCTCTGCGAAGCAAACGGTCCTCTTGTATACGAAGTATACGACCTAATAAAAGTGATCGGGAAGTTTAAAACTCTGTGCCCGGCACTGGAGTTCGAAGCAAACGTCGCTGTCCCTCCGCCCGCCCAAACCCCCAACACATATCCTGTAGGCCCAGAGGCGCGTTTTTGTGGTTGAGTATTGGACCCTGATTGAATTCATCAGCTTATTCGGCACGCCAACAGCCCCAAGACAGAACAAACGCATTCTCTATTGACTCGGTCAAATACGGCAAGGAAATCCACGAAACAAGTGGTAGAATGATGGAAGTTGCAGCGGTGGCGCATTGCGTAAATATTCAGTAAACACAAACACTTCCTGATTCAGTTTGATACGATGCCCACTTATCTGAAGCAGCGCAGTGGTGGTATTACAAGGCTCTTGATTGCGATATTTATCAAACCGATACTTTGATGGTCCTCACGTTTCGTTCTGATACCTTTCTGATTACTAGTAATGGCGCGGAGGTCCCGCATTCCATATTGAACAGAACTGCTTATGAAGAGGTTAGAGAACTGTAGGGAAGTGAGTCACGTAACAGATGGATATACCAACATGTCATTGATTATTGTTCACTGCACTTCATCCAAGAGGTATTCAGCCAACTTGCCTCTGTCGCTCGGTACTATAACCGAGATACTTGCAAGGTCGTATCATCATTTCAGATGGGTCGCTGCAATGTGATAAATATTCCGTCGACAACACAAAACTGATACTCTCAAACGGTATATCCAATCCTCGTTCAATGGAACTACAACCGGCTCTCCAGTTCCAAATGTCCAGACAACAATCTGTACCACTAAATTCGTTTATCAAACAAAACCATGAATTTGGAAATTTCTGTCCTGTAAGAACTCTTTATCAATCAGCCTGGCGTTATTCTAACCCAATCCTTGATTCGATTATAGTACGTACATGGGCCCGCGGATGACTTACCCGAAGGAAAAGACCAAATGTCCTGCGGTACGGTCAGGTGCATATCTGTGTTGTTGTCTCCTTTAGGGCGCGGTCGGCGTATTGCACTTTTTAAAATCCCCACAACAGATGCATCAAGCAATAATGAGAACAAGAGACAACAGGCCTTGGTCCATTGGTCAGGGAACAGGAAGACGTTTGGGCCTGAAAGCCACCGTTCAAATGTCCAACCAGCAATCGAAGGCGCTTTTCGCCTAGGCAGTGAAAACTCAGCCGCATAGGACCATAATAATGAAAGCCATACTGCGGTTGTAGCTATCCAAGGAACACCATGGCACGTCCATTCTATTGTGAGTCCAACAAGACGGGACCAGCGAGGCATGGCTAGAATAGAAAAGGGAACTCAGGTGAGTAGGATGATCCGAAGGCTGCCGCAGGAGACTTGGAGGCGATATGATCCAAGAAGTACTTGGAAAATCACTTGTATCATAGTGCTACAAAAGTCTCATACAAGCGCTTCCATTCATGGCACGGCCATCTGGATAAAAACCTGGTTTTGTCAGCTTCGAATTCCATGTAGTATCAGATTCCCGAAAACCGGCCACGCGTCCCATATACCAAATCAAAACTAACCGGGAAGAGTAATGACTTCGGTGACAAAAACAAACAGCTAGTCAAAGTATCAGTCCTCATTATCAGCCCTGAACTATGTACTCCAGCTTCTACAATCTCGTTCACCAGAAAATTGGACAGCGTGGGATATAGGCGAGCACTTGAGGCGATGATATAACACTTATTCCGTTTTGAACCAGTCTAGTTATTTCAAGGAACGGAAACGCGGGCAGCTACGCACTAAATGCCATAGCTTTGATGCACGAAGTCAATGGCTGAATGGTTGAACGAGTGTCACTAAACACTGGTGAAATGAGTTCTGGAGTTACTATCTAGGAATCCGACATTTTGCAACCTGAGTAGGCTTGTGAGCTTGCACTTTTATACCTCGCTGTCATGTCATAATCACCTCGCCTTTCACTCCCACAGGAAGGAGCAAAAACAGTTCTGAGGTAGACGTCCGCTTACATGCAAATCACATGTTCTAACCAGCGTAATCTACTGAGCTGGAGTAGCACATCCACCGATGGAGATCATTGCTCCCAAATCTACCAAGCGTATATTACCTGGTTAATCCGACGTTCACATCAAACGCACCCAATGCGTCAGAAACATCGATTATTAGACAGAGTTTTCGTACATCCTCTGCGTACGGAAACCAAAATAGTATGAATAGCGCGGTACACATTCTGCTCCTGGGCGAACAAACTGGAGTCACGCCGACAACAAAGGTGTTGAGGGGTGGTAAAGACTTGTCAGACATCCCCAACTCGACAGATGGTCTCCGTCAGGAAGGCGAGTTCCAGAAAATAATCACATAATGCCCAAGACCCACTGAGACACTCAAACCCCACCAAAAGCGCAGTAGGGTCGTCAAGCATCCGATCCAGAAAAGCCAGCTGCTAATTGGACACTCAAGCAGTAAATCAATTCAGCTACGGCAGACGATGATGATGAGTGTTCACTCAACGCCGATCGTACAGCCTGAATTCAAGGTCGAAAGGGCGCCTTAAGTACCGCGATGCTGCTTACAATTTTTGCACTCGATTATCCGCGACAAAGCTGTTGGGTTCCTTGTTGGGGAGTGTTCCTCCGAGAGGTCTTCAGTCAACTGCTTTCCAGACGGCAGCGCCAACTGCGACATGGACCGGAGTTAAAGGCCTTCCGACCTGAGAGGCTCATGCCTGACGGAGTGTAAATATGCGACCGTCACGAAGAGACTGGACCTTATCGTGGTGTGGCGGTTTGTGTACCTCGGCGACCCACTGAGCTATACTGGGGGGTGTCCGCGCGACACTCACAGAGTTTCTCATACCAGGTTGGTCAATGGTTAGAGGTCTGACGAACACAGTCTCCTAGCCCTCCAGGTTGGGGGTTGGAACATGTATGGCGACTTGTTCCGTAGAAAAGGTAATGCATTTGCATTTTCCCGCCAAACACCGCTGCCTTGCGGTTAGGCTTTTGAGCCAAAGGCTTTGGTTGAAGACCCTAATCGTCCTCCTGTCTAGGTGTGGGGGCCCTGGCAGTATCCCAGCCCTCGTAGAAAAATACGACAGTGAAGCATCAGTGCCAACACTGATGTTGCTGTCATTGATGATGATGATGCGATCGACGCAGTCTCTACCCGGTCAAAATCCCGCTTGACGCTCACGGGTCAATGATTCGCGTTCCGCCGCAAGACGAAGGAGAATCAGTGATACCAGAAGCCTTGTTACAACGGAAATCAAACTGACCCCTCTGTGGTTACTACATTCACTGCTAGTAACCTTTTTCAAAACGGGCACTATTATCAACTCACACGCTATCTGGGCTGATCTCATTCACCCAGATAGGAAAAAATAGGCTAGATGGGCACTGATTGAGGAATTCACCGCCATCCGTGAATAAAGCAGGTGGAAGGTCGCCAGGACCAGGACTACGACGACGTTTGAGTGGAGATATATACTCAGAAACTTCTGAGGCTGAGGGCGGCTCCATCTTCACAGTCCACCTTTCAATTGAAGGCCGGAATTCCGTATCCAAGGAAGCAGGTGGCCAAATGAATTGCTGTATGGAATACTGTGCCCACCGCTCTAAACGTCCTGCTCTGCTGGATTTTATAGGGCTAGTTTGTTCCTTGATAATTTCGCTGACAGGCTGCCGAGGATCAGTCGAAGGAACAACCTGTGTGCGTCTCCAGAATTTTTCGCATCTTTCATTTCTTTAGCCTTAAGGGTCCACCAAGCTTCTGGGTCTGCACGAACACTCGGTTTTGCCTGGCACCGGATGGTGCGTCGGAGGGAGTTGTGTTTGGGCCAGGAGGTCTTTAGCCTTAAGGGTCCACCAAGCTTCTGGGTCTGCACGAACACTCGGTTTTGCCTGGCACCGGATGGTGCGTCGGAGGGAGTTGTGTTTGCGGCCAGGAGGAATATGTCGCCGGTCGTCCAATAAAGCCATGGTCCTATGAGCGATCCAATGTCTAAGTGGTCGGATTGGTTGTGCCGCAAACAGAAGTTCCAGCTTTGGGTAGCACCTTAGATATATGTTCTTACTGCCTGTTAATATCCTAGATCGGACCATGCGGCAAGCTTACGAAGAACCGGTTCTGATAGGTTTGTTTGGTCTATTTAGATTCGGGGCTAGTTGGTTGGTGGACACCACGATTTTCGCTCTCCCGGAAGTGGGCACTGCAAAGGAACGGTTCGTGATCGGTACGCATCGGAAGTAGACGATCTAAGTTGTCCGTCCATCTCGCATACCACCCAAGACGATCATCCAATCAGGCCCAAGCAGCGCTTAGTCTACCTACCTGAGCACTCGAGTCACCAACAATCACAACGATGCCTGAGCTTTTACCCAGTTGTAAAACAGCACCTAGAGCTTCAGGGCAACTGTGTTTGGCAGATTCAGAGAAACAGTCAGCTGAGGCGTAAGCAGACACAATGGGTAGGGTTCGAGATTCTTCCGCAGACGTTGTCAAACGGACCGCGCAAAGGCGACTATCAACTGGCACCCAACCGAAAAGAGACGCCTCCGCTCAGTCGCTCAATACCCACGCTGGCATGTCCAGCTGCAGCGGCAGAGGTGAGCAGCCGGAATCTGGGAGAAAGCGCGAAGGGGTGTAGCCAAATCAATTACAGTATTTGCATCCTGCATCTTTGCCTCTGACAGACAGCACACATCAATGCAGAACAAACCCACCGTACGAGCAAGAGCCGCTTATTGCTCTGCTTGCTTCAGTGTATAAACGTTAAAGGCAGCTAAGTAGGCCGACTTTTGAGGTTCCGGAACAGAATTTGAGGTGTTCGGATTTTTTTACTGAAGTCGGACACAAAAGCCGTAGCTATGCACGATGCATGGCGAACAAAATAGTCAATCCTAAGTCTGGGATCTGCAGGAAGAGTATTCCAATCGCGGTGGGGCAGCATAGAAGAAACGCGTGAAAGTATAGGAAGGGAGGAGTTAGTAGTAACACGTTTTCGTTTACCTGCTGTGTTTGTATGCAGAAATCAAGGCAACTCGGCTGGTGAAACCACGCACGTCCAAGTATTACACAACGTCAAAACTCTTTTGAAGATGGATTTAGTAGATCAATCCCGTGCGGATGTATATGAATCACCCTATTTTGGCGAGCCACCTGAAATTTCGGTAGATACTTTCTCTCCAAGACACTGACAGCCTCAACTGGTGTATTGACGAAATGATGGATTAAAATGTCCAGACAGTCGTCTGTGAGGGCAATGTTGACAGCGGATAAGTTGTCGTTACTTTGGAATCCTCTTTGCTGATGAATGTGGTCTTATAAGGAGTGGCTCATGGATCAGGTCAGTCCGCGCGCAGCATGTAACTAACGCCTTAAAAAATCATGCCCTAGTGAATCAAATAACGCTGTCTGCTGCAGCCTGGCGGTGGGTCAATGAAGGGAAGTAAAAAAGAATTATCACTCGGCTGTAATATCCTTTCCGTTGCATGGCTGTCATGCCACCGGAAGGATGCACGGAGGGTGAGATAGTGCCAAACTGTCCAGTCGCGGTGCCAAAGCTGAATTCCAACCGCGGATCTTCCGGTCAACAGGCTATCACCCTAACAACTGAGCCGCTTTGAAAGCCGGGTGCCGAGAGTCATAGGTGTTGTGCAGTGCAGTGTCCCAAACTTATTACGGAACGTCTCTTCATTTCGATGAATGGCAGACCGACCCAAGCATATTCTTGGGAGGTCAACCCCTCATTCGTTAGGGCTGGAACGAGAAATGTGCCTGTGTCTGTAATTAAGCCCTGTCGTTGAGTTGAATGCCAGGGGATCGGTTCAGGAAGTTTGTTCAGAGGAAAATGTGGTGATTCATACGGTATATCCACAACGTTAGGGGGACTGCCTCCAAAAGGACAGTCGTTTTTTTAGTATGCCCTTTAAAAACTTGCTCATTCCCTTATCACTATTACAATATTTCCATTTTTCGTTTTTGTTAATAATGAGGAGTTCGTGAAAGGCTCCGTGGGATTTTCATAACAAATATAACCCTACTCTGGTTTATGTGCACTGCAACAGCGTGTTTAGGTGTTTGTTCCAGTTGCCCTCCGACTTTGCCTAAGGTGTAACGTTGGTTCACATGTAACCCCGGCGACCTTCACGGTTTCTACATGCAGGTGATCGGGGTGTCAGTGACAAATCAGTGATACCTAAAGCGCCATCCAGCGACTACGTATAACTACGCCGTAGCAAATGAGGTATTTATCGTGCAAGTCCTATTCGTATGGGAGGAATCAACGAGAGGTCGTTTACGAGGTTGTGATAATAGCATCAGCTTACTCTTTCACTGTTGCTTACCACTGCTGTTCACGTGAACTGCGGTAATCCTTGTTGCCTGGACTTATATAAGTCTGGGCATACGAGATATATCTCATATCGTCAGGCCCTTCGCAGTCCTTCAACATACATTTGCACTCTTGATCCCACACCGCCCGCCCGATAGTCACATACCAAACATGTTTAGTGATCCAAAGGTGATATCACCATGGGCGAGCCGCCCGAAACAAACAGACATTAAGCCGACTAGGCGCGTGCGCCCGAATAGGCTGAAAACCAAAGACAGCCACGCCCTGGTTGGTCAGAATTCAAGTCAATCAGAATCGAGCTTTTTAGCTCCGCGAATCTTGCCATATCGAGGTTCTGGCATGATCCTATGAGAACTTCAGGGGCAAACCCGAAGTATGGTCGCGATAATCTTTCGTAACCATACAGGGCTGTCTCTAATTGCCGTGCTATCAGGCACTCCGTTACAGGTGCAAAGATGGGTTTGTAGTGTATGTAATCAGTTGTCACATCTAACATTCTTCCTGAACTTTAACCACACTTTTTAACTGTCGTTCACGTTGTATCATGACGTTTGTTTTAATGTTACGAATACACAATTTTCCGGCGCGACCTGCTGACTTCTTGCTGGACGACTGTATTTACGCCCGTTGAACTGTTTGTTGGCTGTTGAACCAGTGGGACTATATCTCTGTGTTTGTGTCAACTGTTAAACGTCACAATGAATCCCTGTAACATTTTTTTAGCCGTGAATAATTTTCCTACCATGGAATATATCACTCACACGGAACCATCTGCAGGAAATCTCGACGAGTGAATATTTTCCTCTCACAGCCAGTTACTGCATTCGGATCGGTGTAGTGGACTACTGAACCTACGCATTCGTGAGTCCCCATTTGACTACTCATTCCTTTCCTATTGTGATTTAGTGAATTTGTATTGGTTATTTTGATTGTTAATTTATCCGAACACGCTGATAACGTCCTAGTCCGCTACACAATTGGTGAGCCGGAATCATTCCTTAATTTTTTTCTCTGCAGTACTCCCGTGCTTTACTACATTTATTTTCCACGTCAGCATGGCTTCTGAACACACCCCCAAAATAGACAGCGTTGTTTACGTTAAGTTGCCTAAATTCGGTGCACGTGATCCGAGGCTATGGTTCGCCCAACCTGAAGCCATTTTCGAATCGCGTCGCATTACCTCGCAGAGCAGCAGATACAATTATGTGGTAGGATGCTTACCAGACTTCGTTGCCCCAGAAGTCTCCGATTTAATATACACTCGACCGTCCACCGATCCGTACGATGCTCTCAAAACAGCTCTTATTCCAGCGATGAGCAGAATTTGCGGAAGCTTCTCTCCGGTGTTGACGTCGGCGATAAAATCGAGATTCTTCCGCAGACGTTGTCAAACGGACCGCGCAAAGGCGACTATCAACTGGCACCCAACCGAAAAGAGACGCCTCCGCTCAGTCGCTCAATACCCACGCTGGCATGTCCAGCTGCAGCGGCAGAGGTGAGCAGCCGGAATCTGGGAGAAAGCGCGAAGGGGTGTAGCCAAATCAATTACAGTATTTGCATCCTGCATCTTTGCCTCTGACAGACAGCACACATCAATGCAGAACAAACCCACCGTACGAACAAGAGCCGCTTATTGCTCTGCTTGCTTCAGTGTATAAACGTTAAAGGCAGCTAAGTAGGCCGACTTTTGAGGTTCCGGAACAGAATTTGAGGTGTTCGGATTTTTTTACTGAAGTCGGACACAAAAGCCGTAGCTATGCACGATGCATGGCGAACAAAATAGTCAATCCTAAGTCTGGGATCTGCAGGAAGAGTATTCCAATCGCGGTGGGGCAGCATAGAAGAAACGCGTGAAAGTATAGGAAGGGAGGAGTTAGTAGTAACACGTTTTCGTTTACCTGCTGTGTTTGTATGCAGAAATCAAGGCAACTCGGCTGGTGAAACCACGCACGTCCAAGTATTACATAACGTCAAAACTCTTTTGAAGATGGATTTAGTAGATCAATCCCGTGCGGATGTATATGAATCACCCTATTTTGGCGAGCCACCTGAAATTTCGGTAGATACTTTCTCTCCAAGACACTGACAGCCTCAACTGGTGTATTGACGAAATGATGGATTAAAATGTCCAGACAGTCGTCTGTGAGGGCAATGTTGACAGCGGATAAGTTGTCGTTACTTTGGAATCCTCTTTGCTGATGAATGTGGTCTTATAAGGAGTGGCTCATGGATCAGGTCAGTCCGCGCGCAGCATGTAACTAACGCCTTAAAAAATCATACCCTAGTGAATAAATAAATCGCTGTCTGCTGCAGCCTGGCGGTGGGTCAATGAAGGGAAGTAAAAAAGAATTA